TTTTTTATTTATTTTCCACTTGGGAGTTTCAGAGTTTAGATCTGCTTCCTCTAGAGAAAGCTTGCTTATAATAGCTTTAAGCTGGTTTACAGTAACTCAAAATAGAGGGGATCGATCAACTAACCCTGTTTTATGATCTTGCGTCTCTTTTTTTTAACTTCAATACTGTATCATTATTCTGTGTACGATAGGAACTGATTTTCACTTTATTGTGTTGTTCAACATTTTGGTTTCCCATTGGCTTCGTCATACCTTATTATGCTTTTATTTTCATGAGCTTGTCGATTTCATGTGTTCTGAAATCTATGTTCCGTTGACTTTATATGATCTCAAGCTTATGGTCTTTGTGAAATGAAACTACACTTGTATGATAGTACCAGTGGCAGAATATACACCTTGCCATTATTTACTAAGATAGGCAAAATGTAAGAGATTAAAAGTGCGAAGTTTCACACATACACGAACAGGAGACAAACCAATAGCAGAATACAAAGTTATGAACTGGATGCAAACAGAATACATGCTGTTACTGAGGCTGAGTGATAGAATGATGGTTCTCAATTTTTGTTAGGATGAAACTGAAGAAATTCAGAATTAGCTACAAAAGCGTCACAACAAGTTCAAAACCCTCATTTCTTATTCTTTTGTAAGTACTTCCTTTGTAGGTTAATCCAGAAATTTGTCACTTCAGAAGGGATCTAGTAAGATGTTCACGGGCAGTCGCCAATGCTTGACTAATTGTCTGCAAAGGAAAAAAATGCAATCATAGCTTACCAAAGGAAATGTAAGTTGCTTTCCAGGTAAGGAGTAAAATCTTTGGGATTGAGTAAACTACACACCTGTTCGGAGAGTGGTGCTCCAGTGTCCACACTGTGACTTGCAACTTTATTAGCAATGTTGTTGGCATCTGTTTCAAGAACAATCCTGTGCGAGCCGAGATGGTAACTTGTCAGACACAGCAACACTGTTTACAGTTGAAGCTACATACACATGATCTAAAAGCTCTGCCATATCAAATGCTACAGATAATTGCACAAGTCCCCCATTACATTTTAGCTTAAGTATGAAAAACTCCACTCATCTAGGACTATCTTAGATGTGAATCGCTTAAAATGTTGTAAATGCCCTTTCTAAGGTTGTGTTTACCTAACTATAGGAATTTTGTAATTCTATAACTGATTTTTATTTTATTTTAACTCTCTCTCTCTCTCTCTCTCTCTCTCTCTCTCTCTGTGTGTGTGTGTGTGTGTGTGTGAGAGTGTGTTTACATATGCAGCAAGCTGAATTTTCATCATTCAAATTAACCCAAGAAAAACATGAACTGAAATTATTTCCATTAGATTCATTTCACAGTTTCCCTTCTTTCAAGAATCCATCTAAATAGTACTTGCTGTGAATAAATAAACAGATGCTTACCCGCCATCAACAATTTCATCAATGCACAGAAGTATGAGATCCAGGTTTTCCAGTGCCTCCCTCTTATCAACATTAGCCCTAAAACAAAAGAATGATATCATAAAACACTTTAAATGTACAGAAAGAAGCAAAGGTAACTAGAAGCAAATGACAAAACTTATGGCCCGTACCTAAGTAGAATATCAACAGCATCAAAGAATCCCTGAAGGACAGAGGCTAAAATGACCTCGTTCTCATCTTCACCACCAGTGACATAAAAGTGTACATCTTGAACAAACTTGTAGACAACAATGTTGTTCTCAAACATTGTTATCTCCGCTAAAGATGATGAAAACATTAAATGACCACCATATCTAAAGGAACATGGATGAACTTAGAGATAATACATGATTATTTCACAAAACAAACAGATAACAACATAAACAATTCCATGGTATAGACTTTTTGCAACTACAATAATGTGAAAAGCATTTTCAAGTCATAGAACACCTTCAGTCCGAGCATTCGTCTTATGGGTCTTGGTAAATAATGCCTTCTCAAAAGCTTCCTTTGCAGTATTGGTAGGCCAGTCGTCTGAAAAGTACTTGGCCGCAATACGTTTGCCTTCTGAATCGAGAAGAAGAATGTTCTTTACAGAAGGGCACAAATCCTGGTAAAAAAAAAAAAAAAACAAAAAAAAAAAAAAAACATAAATTTGGAGTTTTGGACTCTAAATTGTATTCAGTAAAACGAAAACTAAAGAAAACTTGACATTTACACATCCCATTTTTTCCCACCAAAGGATAACAAATAGCTTAAATATTCATATGCTATTGCTGGCTATAATGCATAAGGTAACCTACCTTTTTCCATTCAGAATGTACAGTAAATCCAACAGCACCATTAACAAATAGCTTAAATGTTCCTCTAAACACTTGAATCTACATCATTTATCAAACCTAATGTACTGAAATCGAAATGTACTAATTCAAATCCTATTTTTCTATTCATCACTCGAAAATAGTAAATGATTCTCAATCGTTCCCAAAATTAACATGAATTCCAATTAATTCAAAAGCAAGCAAGTCGCACTTCTGCGAGATCTCCATAACTACTAGAAATGAGCTGCTGAGTATTTGAATCCAGTCATGACTGAGCAAAAACGATGCCGTAAAGTATCATAAGCTAACGTTTTCTACACAGATCAGAGGACAATTTTCCATTCGACTGTGCGCCGCACGTGTGAGACATATATATATGTAGAGAGAGAGAGAGAGGGTACCATTTTCGCCGGAGAAGATCTAGTCAGCGGCGGAGATCGCGGAGTCGGGGAAGAGAGAGAACTGTGAAGCAATTTCTATTTGAAGCTCATAAATCGTATTCTGATTATAAAGCGTCAAAGCACGTTTGCACGGGTCGAATCAGATATTATGGGAGCATCACTTGATTTTGACTGGGCCAGTGGCTCGTGAGCTCAAATTCATTTAACAATGACCCATCAAATATCGGGTCGAATCGACATATTTTCGGACATCACTTGGATCCTGATTACAGCTGTTAAACGAATAGTTCGTGAGTTCGAACTCATTTGATGATGATTGGTTACGAATCGAGTCAAATTAAGATATTGTCAAGCATCATTAAATCTTAATAACAATCATTAAAGATTAAACTAAACAAGCCGACTCACAAGCACATGCCCATTGACGATGACCTATCAAATTGGGCTGAATCGAGATATAAACATCACTTAATCCATTACAATAATTATACGTAACAAAACAAGTAGTTCGTGCGTTAGATCTCGTTTGATAAACGTGCTGAGCTCAAGTAATGCATTTAGTATGTCGAGTTAAGTTCGTTAAGACTCGAGAATAAGGGATATTATGTAATTTTAATTTTATCCCAGTTCGACTCATTAAGGATCGTGTTTGAGCAACGATAAAGGCTCGAGTCCTAACTTGTGTATGTCGAGTTGAGTTTCTGGCCTATTCAGGCCCAACAAATTCTCACCGGCCCGGTCCACTGTTAAGCCACCTCAACCGCTGGTATAAACATGTGTCAGGAAATTGCAGCCCTCAAAATGACGTTTCACTCTCGACTCTGTGTTCTCTCCTTCAGAACACGTGTACGTGGCCCTCTCTCTCTCTCTCAAAACACACACACACACACACACACACACACACACACACACTGATTTCATAGTTTCTGTGATTCTGTAGGTTTTATCGACACCGCTATCGCCTAGAGTCTGGGCAGACCATGGATGGTACTTTCTCTGCAAATCTTCCATTTTTCCTGTGAAATTTATTTGTTTGTTGTTTGTGATTTGGTTACCTCGAATAACTATGGCAATTACATGTGAAAATCGCAGTCCGATCGGATTCGTAGTATGTTTTTTTGGGCATTCTAACAGTAGCTGATTCTTTAACATTGTTGTTATGTTTGTGGGTTCTGTTGATTTGTGGCGATATTGGTTTGAATAGTGAAAATTAAAGGAAAAAAAAAAATTGTATATGGATACAGCTCAAGAATTTGTGTAGCTGCTAAAACTCATGGTGATAAGGGAAGATCGTCGAATGTTATCGGGCCTAATGGGATTAGGGCGTATAATACTGGCCAAGGTTAGTGGTCGTCCACTGGAGCTACGCCTCCCCTGTTTTGCGAATTATTCGCGACTTTATTCGAGTAGTGATACTTTGACAGGAATTGCCTGCAATGGATGTGGTTCTTTTTACTCTGTATCGAAATTGTAGCACATAAATCGATGGCATTTTGCAAATTGTTAGCTAAGAGTTGTTCAATACTCTCTTAAGGGAGTAGTTATGTTTAAACAGTATAGAGAATGTTGGCCTTGAATTCCCTGGTGTTTGTGAGTTTGTAATTCATCTTTAATGTTGTTTTTCTTTGAGGGCTTGACTTGTTTTTTCATTTGCTCTAGATTTGTCGAGTAAGAAGTGTGTGCCGTGCGAGTCCAAGGATTTGAGGGCTATGACTGAGGATGCAGCCAACATTTTGATCCGTCGAGTATGGATATCCATATCGATTACTGAAAGCTAATCTGTTTGACTGCAGTTTTGTGATTTGTTATGTATAATCTGTTTGACTGCAGTTTGTACTTCATTATGAGTATTCAGGTTCCTGAATGGACTCTGGAGAATGACAGTGGTACCCTTAAGCTGCATCGATCATGGAAAGTGAAGACCTTTGTTAAAGGAATGGAGTTTCTTCGCCTCGTAGCTGACCTTGCTGAAGCAGAAGGTATATTATTCATCACCTTATCTCATTAGTTAGGTACGTTATGATGTCGTACTCATCTTAAGGTTCTCCTTTAAAGTGTCAAATTTGGTCCCAGGTAACATTTTATGGCTCTTGTTTATTTTAGGTTTGTTATTGTACCCTATGCATATGATGTTTGTTCTCCTTCGACACTCAACTTTAGATCTCAAATAAATGCTTATATTTCCTTTTTGTTTTAGGCACTTCTCTCTTGATATTTTGGTTGTTCTATTTATATTAATTTCAAATGTTGGTGGCAATTCAATTTCACAACAGGTTTTTTCCTGTGTATAGAATTTGTTGTGTTGGTATATTAAATCACCATTGGTTGCCTAATTTCTTGTTTCTGGGTCATGTAAATGTGTCCATTTAGGTCATCACCCAGATCTTCATCTTGTTGGATGGAACAACGTAAAGATTGATATATGGACTCACGCAGTGGGTAAAGATCACCTGGCCTATTTTCTTTCTCACAACTGCATTCTTTATTCCTTTTTTTGCCCGGATGGTCTGGTTCAACTTGTGCAACTTATCAATTCTGCTTGAATAATGTTTCAGTTGATTTGAATAGTTGGTCATCCGTGACGTTCATTTTAATTTTATCATAGGAAAAGAGTTGATCAAGTAGTAAATATGGATTCCATAAGAGTGAAGAGCTTTCAGGCATTTTAATTTGAAGCTTGCCACATGATATAAGGAAAAATGTGCCTGAACCGAAGATTTGAATGTCAAAAGAAAAATACTGGATAGGTTTTATTAAATGTTATTTTAAAGCAACAAAGATGCATGATTTGTGTAATTTTTCTCTGCCCCTTTTGGAGTAATTGCTGTGAGATTTAATTGTTTGACCTTTGATGGAATTCTTGTTCATGGTATAGGTGGACTCACTGAGAATGATTTCATTCTAGCCGCGAAGATAAGTGGACTCAATCTTCATCACCTTCTAAGGATTACACCATCTAACAAGTGACTGGCTTGTATTTTGGTGTCGTGTTTACAAACACAGATGGTGTTTCGTAGGAATCTGCAACGAATATCTTTTTCTCTGTGTGTTAATCTGTCTACTTCCAAGATTCAAGAATGGATATTGTAATGGATATTTTTATGATATATTGCTCTTTGGAGGTAGTTTCAATAATAGTTCATCTACTGCCTTGAACTGAAGATGCCTTTTAAAGTTAATAGTGCGGCTGATTGTTGAAAATTGATGAACAAAATCCACAAAGCGCATTTTTCACCATGCATGTTGATTTTTCAGATTGAATGTTGTTTACTCATGCATTCTAAATTCAATTCAGGGTGTTTACTTGGAACTAGGAGTTGAGCTGAGTTGAGTATGGATCGATTTTTTTTTTTCATTTTTTGAGCTCGAGGAGCCATGAAAATGACGCTTGAGCTCGACTCGTGAAACAAATGAAAATGCTCGAGATTGGTTCGATGCTCCAGATTGACTTGAGTTCGGCTCGGATCATAACAACTATAAATTATGCACCTATGACAATTTTGTGAATTACATATATATAAAGGGTATTTAAGCCGCTCCACGAGCGGCTGATCTTTGAAAATTTGGGCTCGACATTCACTCGAGATTTGTAAAACTCGAGCTCGAGTCGAGCTTTGACTCGAGTGCTCACAAGAGGCTGTGAGTCGCTAGACTCGTTTGCAGCCCTACTTAGAACAACCAACACACATGAATCCAAGTCCATATTCAGAAAACACCTCAAAGTCTCAATCTTGCATTAAACCCAAAAACACCATTATCGGCTATGGCTTCTGCAAAAGCGCGGTCAAATAAACCTCCCTGTTATTAACCCAACCCGAACCAGAATCCGTTTTATTCGCCACGGCCCACTTCACGACCCGATACCTCAATTTCCCGATCAACGGCCCAAAAACCTCATCCAAATCGGACCTCTTGCTCGAAAACCGGTCGAGGAAAAAATATCCACCTTTCCTCAAAACCCTGTCGACATCAAAGAACAGAAACTCCATCACGGCCACCGGAATCCACCGGTTAATGGCGTGCCCGCACCTCACCAGATCCACCACCCCATCGAAAACCGGCAGCCTCTGCTGCAGGGGCGCG